GGATAATTCATTCTCTTTGAATTTATTTCTGTGTGCGATATTGGGTTACAAAAGTATTTGAGTATTAGAGTAAGTTGAACTTGATTTTGATTGGCTCGTGCACCCTGTCCATAAATTGGCGCATGTCCATAAATTGCCTCGTTACGTTATCGATTTTCCTTTATGCTGGATTTTTAATGGTGATCAAGTATAGAAAAATACCACTGATTTACGAAACATTCACGAAACACTGGATTAAGTTATACTCAGTGGGAGTTGAAGAATTTTTGAAACGCACAAATTCAGGTTCTTTGAGCGTCACAAATGCATGGCGATATCGTCTCAAGTTGGAGGTGTGATCGTCATTGTTAGTGTCCAAGGGTCAAGCGTACGAATACAACATTGCCTGAACTACTGTACAGTGAACCGAGTAGGAACTGGCGCAGTGTGTCACCAAGGATATTTGATTAAATTCGATGCATCACTGAAAGCAATCAATGTTGACCAGTCATGAATGATCTGTATGATTCGCTTCGATTGGCCAATTTAAAAATAGATAACTGGTTTCGATTGGTGAATTCAAAATTCGTGCAGCACACTTCCACGACTGTCACCCCATTTTCGGGGAGGAGAAGGATGTTGTTGTGATAGGCGGCACACCAGTCATTCCATAGTTGTCGAAGGGTGAGCGCTCGCACGAGTTGCCAAGCTTGGTGGCCTAGATGGTCCTGGGCAATCCCGTGGGTGGACCAATTCGCCGAGCTGGTAAGCCATGGCGCCGGAGGGAGCTGGGCGCCTTGGAGAATTGAAGCGATGAATATGGCGGGGTCTGGGATGGTGGGTCGGGGTAAACCATAGGTCGAGCACGTGCTGCCAGCGAAGTTGGGCTCGGGGGCACAACCAGAATGTGTGGGCTGGGCCATCCGTGGCTGGACAGAAAGGGCATCTGGGTGGGATAGAAGAGGTTCGAAACGGGAATGCTTGATGGTGCCACTTGTACATAAACCATTGTAATGCCCCGGGTAATTGCGTGACTTTCCCGCCTGGTTCCCAAAGCACAGGGTCGTAGTCCAGATCAGTGACACAGCAGATACGAGTTTGACGCCTGGTGTATTTAGAGTCCGATGGAGGTGGGGGGTGGAGGGTATTCAGAATGGTTGGGCTGAGTCTCTTGACAGTCGAGATGGCTCGGCGGAAGTTGACCGGAGGAGGAGCTGCAGGGAAAAACATACGTCGGAGAGGGGCCCGGAAGGTCGCTTGGCAAGTGAGGCCCATACCTATCGCGATCATGTATAGGTATTGTAGATGTGCGTGCATGGGCGGCTGGGGGGGGGCGGGGGGTGAATGACCACGTTGTGCCAGTCGTGGTGGAGGAAAATGCCGCTGCAAAGGAGTCCCTGTGAGAGCGACGGAGCGGCTTGTTATTGTGATCGCGGATCCATGTGTGATTGTGGAGTTGGCCGTGCCAGAGATGACGTCGCTATTCGGCGGAGGTCCCGTGGTGCAGCTCGCCTTGGAGTTGGACCGCCGCCGCTTGCGACTCGGGCGGCATGTGACAGTGGCATATGTGATTGCACTACCAAGTACCAAGGTTTAAACAAATGAATGTTTGGGATGCGTACAACATACATACATCCAGCTCTTGTCATTAGACAGATATCGCAAACGTAAGTTCTATTTTATCCGCAACCTATCCTCTCAAATTCGATAAGGATATAACTGAACCTGTAATAAATAATTAAAGCCGCTGTAAAATTTGCCAATTTTGCAGCGGATTTCCCATTTGCTGTATCCGCTTTCTGGTGTAACTGGATGCGCTTGTGTTTTGTTTGATCATACTGGTATACCATCCATGGCGACAGCCTGGGATGGCGAGGTGAGTCGCATTAGAGCAGGCCTCATAAAAGGTGCGAAATCCCAGTTTTAACAAAAATATGCTAAAATTGGGAATTCGCCGAAAAAACTCACTATTTCTGGGATTTTTGTCCAAATAGTCAGAAATGTTATTGATATTGATATTACGCTGTAAAGTTAAAATTACTCAGCGGGCACTTAATGGCCTCGGCCGCGTACTAGCTGCATTGGCAGCTAGCGGACTTAACTACTTGCAAACCTAGTTGTGGTTCCAGGGGATAAGGAGGCTTAGGCCGCTGGTGGAGGTATCCCTGGGTCCGGAGGCAGGCGTGGTGGCCGAAGTGGAGGGTCGGCGTAGCCTACACGAGGGGGGAGGGCGGGGGGTAGTGAGGACATCCTTTGAGTGTGCCATTGTAGTGTCTTGGCTGCAAGGTGAGCCCTGCAGGCACGGATGCGTCGATCATGGCCCATGGGGGCAGCATCATGGTAGCGGCGTTTGAGCCGGATGTTGTTATTTACCTCGGTGAGGAGGGGTAGTTCCCCTGCGGTGCATATGTGGTCCACATTAGTAGTGCATGTCGATTGCCAGTGGCGACGAAGGGCGGCCCAGTGCGCCTTGAACCATTGAGTATGGAGACGAGGAGCGCGGAGGTGGGTGAGGGCGGCTGCCCAGGCTCGTGTGGTGTGTGTCATGGTGGGGAAGATTTTCCAGCCGGAGGTAGCTTGGTACATGGCCGGAAACTGTGTGGTGAGGTATGCGCGTCTGTCAAGGGCATAAACGTCGTATGTGGGGATGGAGGATTGGACCCAGTGGAGGCAGTGTGTGGGGGCACTAAGTAGTCGTGGGATGGCCGACGTGGTAGTTTCTTCTAGGCGGAGTTGAGTGGTCGGGGGAGGCCGTCGGAGGCAATGGGTAGCGTCGATTAATGTGAGTGCTGATGTCCAGTGCTGCTGGGCAGAGGCGAGTAGGGCTACTGTGTTGCCAGTGGTGATGAAACCAATGTGGATTGCGGTGGGATTGCCGGAAGCGAGTTTGCCCCAGGTTGGGGTAGGGCTGTGGTATATGGAGAAGACGTGACGGAGTTTGATCTGGCCCGAGGAAATGGTGAGGAGCCATGTTGTTTGGAGCTGGTCAGCCATTTTATGGTCGCAGGAGCCATCGTGTACGACAAACCAGTAGGTGGCCGGTGTTTGGTGAGAGGTAGCGGCTTGTATTGCCGTGGTTAGGAAGCGCCACCAAGTGGAGGTGTATGGGTTGTGTGTGGCACCAATCCACCAGTGATGGTTTGTTGGGGGGCGGGGGATGATGCAGTGGGGGGAGTGTCCAAGTGGGCCCTGAAAAGTAGCACCATTGGGGCCGCCCATCCACTGACCGAACGAGAAGTCGCGTGGTGCAAGCAGGGGGGTGGAGCGTAGGGCGGTGTGATATAGCCAGCGCGGTAGTAGCGATCCAAATAGTCAGAAATGTTGTTTTATTGTCTTAACATATGTTATTATCGGCGCGTCAAAAATCATCCTCCTCGGTCCTCGGCCATCTCGTCTTCGGCGCGGAACATCAGGCCGCCAATCATATCGTCAACAATCGTAGGCGGGTGAGGGAAATGGTCATATTAGAACGAACTCCATCAAGCTGATGCCTATAATCGAAATGCTACACGATCGGATCAGTTCATACTTCACCTGGTTGACAGAAACCTTCGTCGTCGCATCTTCGCTGGCGATTTGGTCGTCAACCTTGCTCCATGGAAGCGCACTTCTTCGAAACAAGAAACCGTTTCATTCTTTTTATCATGGCATGAGTAGAATTTTTATAAACAAGACATCAAAACGATATTATGTGACGCTATATGTGGAAGCAAATACTCCGGAGTATGATTAACAAAGTTGGATAACTTGGATGTTATATTTGAGACAGCCACTTTCAAAGCCACATAACTAGAGTCAATGTAAATCGAGCAACCCGAGACGCAATCTGTGTGTTCACAAGCATTATCTCTACATAATGACGTATCATATAGAGGTCGCTATGAGCTATATTCATCGAGATATTTACTTACAACGTAGGTTATATTTGTGTTTTTTGCTACTTTGAGGACACATCACTCATGCTAAAATGTTGCAATCACCATATTTCTAGCTTTGAACGATAGCCAGCAACTAAGTTTGCAATATCTACATTCATTACACCGCTCGTAGACAAGCTGCTGAGGCCGACAAAAGCTGGAACTATGGTGCAAGTCACCTAAAGACTACAAATAAATGCCTTGACTTTCGACAGCTATTCCAACTTTCTATTGATGTTATTTAGGAAAATATACCGTAGTAACGATTGAACTGGACAAGCCCAACAGAAGTTACGGTTCAGATTTTCGATTGGTGAAAAATTGATCGGGTAATCGGGTAATAGAATTTTAACCAACAAACCTTTTTTTGTACGGAGATATATGGAACCAGGTACATTTTGGCCGAAAAGGAGTATCAAGTATATCTTGGTCTTCGTATACAGCACTTATCCGTACGAACGTTTTCATTGTATCCGGATTATTCACAATGTTTAACCTAATTACCGGGTAAAAAACGTAACGAATAATGATTTAACGTCAACATTTCGTGGGTTTAACTGAAAGAACCGAGGCGTTTAAGAGTAAAACGTCTCCTCCTGAGGATGGCCGATCTGTAGTCTTTAGATGACGCACTCTGGTGCCGATTTTGGGGAAGTTCCATAAAATTGGGATTCTGCACAGCCTTAAATTTGGGATATCGCAGCCTATTTTTAGCTTTTCCCAGGTTTAGGAGGCCTACCTGGGTTTGAGTCTCCTTGTTTGCCTGCGCCGCGCCTACCCATCAACTTGTCGTAAAACCCCGCGACATTCTGGTGGAGCAGCAGGGTAGGCGTTTGCAACGGAATCAAGGAAGAAATGTCGACGGAATCCTCTACTGTAGCAAGCAAGGCTACGCGTTATTCCCGC